ATTGTCATCTTGTCAAACCAACAAGCTCCAATCAGATTTGGTTGTTGAGAGAATCAGTGAGGTAGTTGGTTCAAACTTGAATGCAACAGCTCAAATGTATCTGGACCCTTTTTGGGCTGAATAGGGGCGCATGAATTGTGGTCATATGATGACCATTGGTTCAGAATTTTGACTAGATAAAGACCTAGTCTTATGAGGATTCAAAGGGGAGGTTGTTGGGATTTTTGAATTGCAACAACTCCACCTTTGTCTCACTCACTTGTGCACCACTTTCATTATAAGTAAAGTAAAGATTCTGATTTGATACACTAATTCTCTCCCTCTCTTGTGCGCCTAGTTGGGGAGTTCCTCCTTAAGGTTTTTTTCAAAAGAACCTAGCCAATTCTTCTATATACCATTCCCACTCTTGTGAAGTTTTCATGCTAGAGACTTTACTCTTCTAAACACATATACCTAGCCTCATTCTTCACCTATTGAGCGCATAGCAAGCCTCTATGTGGTGATCAATTGGTGGCTTTCAAGAAAGCGTTCTTGCATCTTGACGTGGGTGGTGTGGATCAACGTTAGAGGGTTTGATCCCTTCAAACCTAACACTGATTGTCTTGGAGTTTTGAACTCACAAACAAAGGTAACATCACATGTCATAAAGCATGATTCTTGATTGCATGTGTAATTCCGCATATGAATTTTTTTTTCCCTCTCACATGCTACGGCCTTCAAGGCCATTTTACTTTCACACAATACCCAGAAGTAAATCTCCTATCAGTTGGACAACCAGCCCAATCAGCATCACAGTACCCAACCACTTTATCATGACCTTTATCTTCATATTCAAGGTCTTTCCCTGGAGATGCCTTGATATACTTAAGAATACGAATGACTGCATTCCAATGTTCTTGACATGGAGAATTGAGAAATTGACTGACAACACTAACTGCAAAGGAAATATCAGGCCGAGTGACTGTGAGGTAGTTCAATTTTCCAACCAATCTTCTATACTGCTCAGGATCTGAAAAGGGCTCCCCCTGATTTGGTAGAAGCTTGATACTTGGATCCATAGGAGTATCAACAGACTTTGAATTTAATAGAGCAGTTTCTTCAAGAATATCCAGTGCATATTTCCTCTGAGATATCACAACACCAGCTTTAGATTGGGCCACCTCGATTCCTAAGAAGTATCGAAGTTTCCCAAGATCCTTAGTCTGAAAATGATGACACAAGTGCTATTTCAATCGAGTGATCTCATGCTGATCACTGCCTGTGATGACAATATCATCCACATATAGCACCAGATAAATAGATCCAGAAAAAGAATGACGATAAAAGAGAGAATGATCAGCTGCACTCCGAGTCATGCCAAATTGTTGCACAACACTGCTAAATTTACATAACCAAGCTCTTGGAGATTGTTTGAGGCCACAGAGAGACTTACGAAGACGACAAACAAGACCTGACTCCCCCTGAGCAACAAATCCAGGAGGTTGCTCCATATAAATTTCTTCCTCTAGATCACCATGAAGAAAAGCATTCTTGATATCCAGTTGGTAGATAGGCCAATGGCTAATAGCAGCCATGGCAATAAAAAGGCGAACAGTAGACATTTTCGCCACAGGAGAAAAAGTATCAATAAAATCCAAGCCAAAGACCTGAGTGAAACCCTTTGCCACCAACCACTTGACCATCAGGTCCAACCTTAACAGCATAAGTCCATCTGCAACCAACCACAGATTTTCCAGAAGGAAAAGGCACTAGGTCCCATGTGCCATTATGATGAAAAGCACTCATTTCATCAATCATAGCTTGTCTCCATCCCGAATGTGAAAGTGCATCACATGTGGTCTTAGGAACATATATAGAGGACAAAGAGGAAAGGCAAGCAAAATATGATGGAGAAAGACGATGATAACTAATATTGACTGTATACCTGGCCGGAGGGCGAGTATCACGAGTACCCTTACGAAGAGCAATGGGAAGGTCACTATCCGAAGGTGGGACCGAAGCCGTGGGAGGAGATGCAGTTGAATGTGGTCCACAGATACATCTAACGAACTATGCTCGATCTCATCAGCAGAAGAAGTGATAGAAGGAGAGTCAGAAACATGGACGGGTAAAGACGGAAGGTAAAGAAGGTCACCTGGGAAGGACGACTGTACAAAATCAGTATCCACAAGAGTAGTAGAGGATCCAAAAAAGGGAACTGATTCAAAAAAGGAGACATTCGCCGAGATAAAGTATCGACGTAAAGTGGGAGAGTAGCAACGGTAACCCTTCTGAGACTGAGGATAACCCAGAAAAACACATTTATTAGACTTGGGAGCCAATTTATCCAAACCTGGACCAATATGATGAACAAAACACGTAGAACCAAACACATGTGGAGTTAAAGGATATAAAGCTTGATGGGGAAATAAAATAGAGTGAGGTACCTTATGATTGAGAACAGATGATGGCATGCGATTAATGAGATATCATGCAGTAGGTATAGCATCACCCCAGAATGTGTATGGAACATTACCATCAATTAACAAGGCACGAGTGGTTTCAACCAGATGGCGATTCTTGCGCTCGACTACACCATTTTGTTGAGGTGTATGAGGGCAAGATGTTTGATGAAGAATGCCATAAGATGAAAAGAATTGTTGAAATTGATGAGATAAGCACTCACATGCATTATCACTACGAAAAGTATGAATAGGAATACCAAATTGAGTTTTTATTTCATTATAAAATAACTGAAAAATAGAAAACAACTCAGACCGCTTTTTCATTAAAAATAACCAAGTAAATCTGGAATAATCATCAATAAAAGTAACAAAGTACTTAAAACCCAAAGTAGAAGAATGACGACTTGGTCCCCAAACATCAGAGTGGACCACAGAAAAAGGAGAAACAGCTTGACGACTAAGACGACTCGGAAACGTACTACGAGTATGTTTCCCAAACTGACAAGACTCACAATTTAAAGTAGAAAGAGATGATAAATGGGGAACCATCTTCTGAAGCTTTGCAAGACTAGGATGGCCCAGACGAGCATGGATAGTAAGAGGAGAATCCACAGTGGAGCAGGTTGAAAAAGAGGTAACTAGATGATAGAGGCCCTGAGACTCACATCCTTTGGTAATCTCCTTCCCCGAACTCCGATCCTGAAAGATGACAGAGGTTTTAGTAAAAGAAACAACACAGTCAATGAATTTGGTCAACCCACTAATAGAAAGTAAGTTAAAAGGAGAATCGGGAACATATAGAACATGATCCATAGATAAATTAGGTAAAAGAAGAACCGTGCCAATCCCCCTTGATTGGACCAGAGACCCATTGGCCATAGTAATAGTGGGAAAAGAACCAGTATTACAAAGGGAAGTGAATAATGACTTATTACCAAAAATGTGATCAGAAGCCCCAGAATCTAGAGTCCAAGGGCCAATAGAGTGCAACTGAGATATGCCAGTAAAAGAATTACCAGTGGGAGCAATGGATGCAGTAGGACCTGATGTTTGCTTCTCAGACCACCAAGTCACAAATGCTTTTGCCTGAGTCCAAAAAGCTTCACAAGTAACAGTAGGTCGAAAAATCTGCTTGATAGACGGATGAAGAGTAGCTTTAATAAGGCTACACAGCTGAGCATCAATCATTTTCCACCGTGTGCGCTCCTTTTCCGCCACAGATTCAGCCTTAGTGGTGAGATGAGATGTATAATTCTGCCCATCCAACCAAAGTCGCAGATCGGAAGTCCAAGTATCATAGTTAGGACCATCCAATTTATCCACACTCAACGGAGCAAGGATATAATTTGAAAAAATAGCAGAGTCCGACTTTTTCTCAGCCGGAGTACCAGAGTCATTGGAGATAGGACGGTCCATAATTAAGAGAAAAAAATAATCAAAAAAGAAGAGATCACACAACTAACCTGTAGAAGAGGGATTTGACGTCAACACAAAACGAAGTCCAAACACAGAACCAGGACCAGATCCAGAACCGTCACAGGGAGACGAAGAGAACGCAACCAACCGTGGCCGGAGAGGAGGTCCCACGCGCCGCCACGCGCCGCCTTGGTGGAGGAGAAGACCGGATCTTGCACGCGCGTGTGAGAGGTCCGTTGAGGGTGTGGCCGGTGCCGTTGAGTTTGTGCTTCCAAGACGAGCACGTCGGTATACAGTTCGCCGGAAAACTCCACCAGACGGTGGTGGTTGACGTAGACAGAAGCTTTAAACGCGGAAGAAAACGTACCGGAAACTGACAGCGCGACAGTTCCGGAAAAAATTTAAAAGACGATGAACAGTGGGTTCACCAAATTTTTTTTTTCCAAAGTTCCTTAGGCTCTTTATACTATGTTAAGAACCACCCCAAAAGCTAGCTCAAAGGGTGGGAGTGCCCAATGTCTTATAAACTTCACATTAGTTGCATATACAACAAATGTCAGACTATATATCTCAACAATTATAATCTTGTTGGTTTGTTGTTTCTGGCTTATTTTGTGATGAAAATTGATCAAAAATCTACTATTATTGAGCTTTGGCGAAGCTCCTACGGCGGAACTCGATTTCGTGCAGGTCAGCCCAGCCCGCCAAATGAAGTAAAAGACACTGTGGTAGAGAAATATCAAAAAATCCGTGAGATTTTGAGAGAGATATCCTATTTATATTTCTTACTAAAATGTTTCACGAAATTCACATCAATAAAAAATTTATTAAAATCGTTAGATTTTTAAATACCACAAAATTACTTTTTGTTTTATTTAAAATACTGATTTAATACCAACGAATATAAACGGACTTTAAAATAATCTTTTAAAATTTCAATCGAAAATGACATGACTTTTTTTGAATTCCTTAAAATTTTAATTGAATTTTTTTTTCATAATTAATCGAGAAAAATCCTTTAAAATCTCCATTCATACATCCGCTTAGAATCAAAATACAGAATCTCGTAGAACATTACAGAAACGTAATCTGTTGCGCAATATTTTTGTCACTCCATGGATATTTTTGTCATTGAGTCGGCACAACCAAGCTATAAATTCGACCACTCCCTGACTTCTCTCCTCTATCGCAATAAGCAATTCTTAAGCAATTTTCGTTATCATCGTCTCGCAGTTCCTGCAATTCCTGTTCTTTATACTTTTTAATCAAAGTAAGTTCCGATTTCCCTTATTTCCCCCTCTTTCAAATCATTATAATGTGATTAGGTTTTGTTTATTGATATAGCTTAGGTCTTCGATCTGTTGAGAATTTCTGTTTGGCGCTGTCAATTTTTGCCGACCTGTTTTGGTCTTGTATTCAAATTCATTCAATTGTGTTTCTGCTTCTGTGATCTGTTTGTTACGTTAACAATCTTCCGGAGATTCTTTGTTAGGGTTTGCGGTTTTGTTTCTATTTTCTGTGTTTTTTATGCCTAGGGTTTGTGATTTAATTTTCAGTGTCTAAAACGTGTCGCTGTTTTTTGATGTTTTAGTTTTCTGATTTTAACAGATGCAGATCTTCGTGAAAACTTTGACCGGTAAGACCATCACCCTTGTGGTGGAGAGTTCTGATACCATTGATAATGTGAAATCTAAGATCCAAGACAAGGAAGGGATCCCACCTGACCAGCAAAGGATCATCTTTGCTGGTAAGCAACTTGAGGATGGTCGCACTCTTGCTGACTACAACATTCAAAAGGAGTCTACCCTTCATCTTGTGCTTCGTCTCAGGGGTGGCATGCAAATCTTTGTTAAGACCTTGACTGGGAAAACCATCACTCTCGAGGTTGAATCCTCAGATACCATTGATAATGTCAAGACCAAGATCCAGGACAAAGAGGGTATCCCTCCAGATCAGCAGAGGCTGATTTTTGCTGGCAAGCAACTTGATGATGGCAGAACCCTCGCTGATTACAATATCCAGAAGGAGTCTACACTTCACTTGGTGCTTCGTTTGAGAGGTGGTGTAACATCCCCGTCTCGAGTTGGTTCAATTAACATACATATGATAAAACAGAAAACAGCGAAAGACTTAACTTACGAAAATACGAGTTAACTTTTTCTTTTTCTACTTTAACTCTTACTCGGGGTAAACGAAAATCGGGCAGAGTTTCCTCTATAAATCGGACAACTGAGGATTTTCCAATCCCACTCAGAAGCATTTCCTGATAAACAGTTTATACAGCATAGTAATCCAGAAGTACCAGTCATGCAGATACCATCAGATACCCATCCATGGGTGCATGCAAAATATGGCTCCGTGCCACTATCCTAATCAACATGCAATCCAATACAAAATCATAAACTGAATAATACATCATCATATAACGTGCCTGAATACCCAAATGTACATGCATCCAAGTGACAGACATGTACAAAACATATACAGGCCATATACAAAATAAAGGATCAATATCGTGATCCATCAAATGCGGAAATACTAAAAGACATCAAACACTCCAAAAGGTAGTAGCCTACAGCCACTCAAAATCCGATCTGTCAACTGCCTCAGCCACGTGTCGTGTCCCTGCCTAGTGAGGACTCACCGGGAATCTGGGCACCTGAAAATATGTCCCCAAAGAGGGGTGAGATTACAAATCTCAATAAGCTCCAGGTTTATAGAGAATTCTCCATACCCCTGGCTCACTCCTGCACGAAAGTCAAATACAGAGTATACGAATACAACATATAACAGATATCATAACAGAACAGAGGATTTATCCATATCATATCAGAGGTGTGCGTCGTCATTCCCAAGGGAGGACCCCAAGCGGAAATCAACGCACGTGTTCCCGAGGGAGGACCCCAAAGCGGAACCAGACATATCAGAGGCGTACACCATCCGTCCCGTGGGAGGACCCCAAAGCGGACATCCGGGTACTATACAATCAATGGCCAGAGATTGTTACAGAAATCATATTACAGAAGTCATATCAGAGCAAAACATATCATGTTATCAAATAACTCTATATGAATGCATCTATACAAAGCATCTAAATCACAGTCATACAGTCCAACCATAGTTCACTAACCATGGTGGAGCACTCAAGCAGGAAAAGACTCCTTAAACATAGAGTTTACCTCTTGAAGCTTTACCAATACGCTTACTTGTGGAACAAGTTACTTTTATCGCTTCAAGAGATTTCCGATCCTTCTAAATCCCTAGGCACACCTAGAGAATAATTTACAATGCATCAATAAAATGATGCAATACCATGATTATTTCATAAGCATACATTTTATCGCTTATTTTCCTTTCTTTATATTTTTGCCAATTCTATGCCAATACACAAGTCTAGACCTCTATACACCCGTTGGCGTTCTTTAATTTAATCAAGCATTTACTTAAGAATTTTTCACATAAATCATGCTATTTTTCTTTAAAAGTCGCGGCATATCCTTAGGGACTCAAGGTATTTTTCAACCATTTGTCAAAGCATTTCACTTCTTAGCTCATCCATTGGTATATTAAAATGCAACACATTTTATTAGAATAAAATGTAACCAATATATATATACCCCTAAACATCCTATAGTTCGAACCATAGAGCAAGTATTTGTAGGATTTTTTTCCAACTTTGACATTTCCACCAATTCATCCATTTACACTACATTCCAACATATTTTATCTTTTCAAACATACAATAAAATTTTGCATGATGAACCCTACATAACCCATGAAGGCCGAAACCTAGGGGAAAGGTGCACAAGGGCTTTTCAATTTTTTTATCACAAGTTGATGCTTACTAACACTATCCTTCCTAACCAACAACAATCCATCATAATTTTCACCTACTTGCACACATAAAACCCCTCTCAAATACATCAATTATAATTTGCACAATAACTCTTATTACCCTATCAAGGCCGAACATAAGGAGGGAAAACATATGATTTTTCTCTACTTTTAACATGCATTAAAATGCTCCTTTTCATTACTTACATCCAAGGTACCAAGGATTCATCAACAAATCAATTTTTAACTCATAATACTCTCCCATCAAAACATATCTATCAATTTGTAACTTAAAATAATCAAGACAACATCATGAGAATAGAGGTTTGTTACCTCCAACAACTACCCCAAAGCCTAGAAGTCCTTTACCAAAAGGATCTCCACCAAAAACTTCATTTTTGCCCTCTTGATGAATAGTGCACGAATTTGAAGGAGAGGATAACTCTTCACACACTCAACAAAACCTCAAATTGATGGTTGGAATGGGTTCATTGGGTGTTTTACAAGCAATTTCATGTGGTGGGTCTTTGAATTTGGAGTAGAAATGATGGAGAATCAAGGAGAAGAAATTCAAAACCCTACCCCCCTTCTCCAATGGTGCAGCTCGGTTTTGAGAGGGTGAGAGGAGAGAGAAACTGATTTGGGATAATGAGACTAAGTCACTTATAAGGCTAGCACATGTGGCCTTTTTTAATAGATATTTTTCTATCGCGTATTTTAACTTAAATTGACCCGGAACTAACTTAAAACTACGAACATATTTTTATTTTTCTAAAATCATTTACATTAATTTTTATTTGTTACAAAACAATATTCATAATTCACAGTATGGTTTCTGCACCGTGTTTGACGAAATGCACTGTGAATCACTAACTGTACTTCGCTCACTTCTGAACTTAGAACTTATAAACTTATTATTTTCTTGGGCTTATATTGACTTGCTTGGCATATATTGGACTTTCTTATTCTTATTTCATCAAGTATTTATTTCTGGACTCTACCGGTTGCTTAAACAGCAGTACAAAATACCCGGTAGAAACACTATTCACGAGATTTTCACGGAAAGTGCCAGACTGTACAATTTTTCGTTCTGAACTCATATTTGTCTTCAGAATTATCAAATTATGTCTCTAAAATTATTTTGCTATTTTTAAGCTCTACCGGTTAATTCACAAAACTGTAAATTCTCCGGCAGAACGCACTGTTCATAACATAGTCATGATTACAGTCAAAATACTCGGAATCACTCACTAAATCTAATTATGACATTTAAATCCTTAGATTAAATCTCTAATTAAGATTTACCATTTAGGGTCATTATATTCACCCCACCTTTTAAGGATTTTGCCCACAAAATCAAATACGAAATATTACACATACCTGACGTCAAACTCAGGATACCGCTGGAGAATTTCATTCTCCCGCTCCCAAGTGGCGTCCCCAGGAGTCAATCCTTCCCATTGTACCTTGATCATGGGAATAGTCCTGTTTCTCAACACTTTCTCATCACGTGCTAGAACCTTAAACGGTCCCACAACAAACTTCAAGTCTTTTCTTACTTCGATATTGTCCGGCTGTACAATGTGGGATTCATCCGGCACGTATTTTCGAAGTTGACTGATGTGAAAAACACTATGCAAATTTGACAGATGTGGAGGTAAGGCAAGCTGATAAGCCACAGGTCCGACCCTTTTCATAATCTGGTAGGGCCCAATGAACCTAGGACTCAACTTCCTCACTCCTAGAGCACGCCCAACACCCGTAGTCGGAGACAAACAGATAAATACATGATCCCCTTGTGAAAATTCAAGGGGTCGGTGTTTTGCATCATAATAACTCTTTTGGCGGCTCTGCGCTTTCTTTAATCGATCCTTAATCATCATAATTTGATCGGTAGTCTCTTGGACCATATCAGGCCCAAATAACTGCCTCTCACCAATTTCTGACCAACAAGTAGGCGCCCTGCACCTACGGCCATACAAAGCTTCATAGGGAGCCATGCCCAAACTGGCATGATAACTATTATTGTAGGAAAATTCCACCAGAGGAAGATATTTATCCCATGCATTTCCCTGCTCTAAGGCACAAGCCCTCAACATGTCCTCCAGGGTCTGAATAGTCCTCTCAGTCTGACCATCAGTCTGGGGATGATAAGCCGTGCTCAGCCTCAACTGTGTACCGAAGGCCTGTTGCACTGCATCCCAAAGTCTAGAAGTAAATTTAGGGTCCCGATCACTAATGATACTTTCAGGAACACCATGAAGTTTCACAATCTCTCTTACATATATCCGAGCCAACTGCTCTGTGGAGAAACTCGTTTTAACTGGTATGAAATGTGCAGACTTTGTCAATCTGTCAACAACTACCCAGATAGAATCAAAACCAGCCTGAGTTCTCGGTAATGCCACTACAAAATCCATAGAAATACTGACCCATTTCCATTCCGAAATATCCAAGGGCTGCAGTAATCCAGAAGGTCTCTGATGTTCAATCTTAACTTTCTGACATGTCAAACACTTACTCACAAATAGAGCAATGTCTTTCTTCATTCCCGACCACCAGAAATTTTGTTTCAAGTCTTGGTACATCTTGGTAGCACCAGGATGGATAGTGTACTTACCCATGTGACCCTCAGTCAATACCTCATCTACCATCTGACCTTTTGGAACAATGATCCGATCCTTGTAAAACTTAAGACCGAACCTATCAGTGGACACAAAGTCCTGCTCTTTCATAGACTGAATCTCTTCATCAAGCAATTGAGCTTCTTTAATCCGCTCAACTAATGAATTCAGGACTACCGTAGTAGTCAATAAATGCGGACTATCTTCTATATTCACAGGAATGTGGAGATCCCTGAATTTCTCAATCAAATTATACTCGGAAATCATCAAATTGGCCATACCAAGCGCCTTTCTGCTTAAAGCATCAGCTACTACATTGGCTTTACCAGGGTGATATTGCAATTCAAAATCATAATCCTTCAGAAATTCCACCCAACGGCGTTGCCTCATATTTAGCTCCTTCTGATCAAACAGATACTTTAAACTTTTGTGGTCACTGTAGACAATAAAATCGGCCCCGTATAGAAAGTGTCGCCAGATTTTCAATGCGAACACTACGGCTGCCAACTCAAGATCATGTGTCGGATAATTCTCCTCATGCGGTTTCAACTGCCGAGAAGCATAAGCGACCACCTGACGGAACTGCATTAACACACAGCCTAACCCAAACTTAGAAGCATCACAATACACCACAAACTTACTTGTAGGATCCGGTAATATTAATACCGGAGCTGTAGTCAACTTCCTTTTTAACTCTTGAAAGCTCACTTCACATTCTTGGGTCCACACAAATGGGTTCCCCTTACGGGTTAACCGTGTCAAAGGTAAAACCATCCGTGAGAATTCCTCAATAAAACGCCTATAATATCCAGCCAAACCAAGAAAACTCCTGATCTCTGTAACATTTTTAGGACGTTCCCATTCTACCACTGCTTCAATCTTGCTCGGGTCCACTGCCACTCCTTCAGATGAGATGACATGGCCCAGAAATTGTATCTCAGAAAGTCAGAATTCACTTTTTGACGGTTTAGCATACAACTGATGCTCTCTCAGAATCTGCAAAACAACCTTTAGATGCTCAGAATGCTCTTCTTTACTCTTTGAATATATCAGTATGTCATCTATAAAGACCACCACAAACTGATCCAGATAGGCTTTAAAGATCCGATTCATATAACCCATGAAAACGGCTGGTGCATTTGTAAGCCCAAAAGGAATAACCAGATACTCATAGTGCCCATAACGGGACCTGAAAGCTGTCTTCGGAACGTCATCCGGCTTTACCCGGATCTGATGATACCCGGACCAGAGATCAATCTTAGAAAATACAGTCGCACCACGCAACTGATCCAACAAATCATCTATATGTGGCAAAGGATACTTATTCTTAACAGTAACCTTATTCAACTGCCGGTAGTCTGTACATAATCTCATAGACCCATCCTTCTTCTTAACAAAGATAACCGGGGCTCCCCAAGGAGACACACTCGGCCTAATAAATTTTTTTTTGGATAAGTCTTCAATCTGCTTCTTCAATTCAGATAATTCCAGAGGTGACATCCGGTATGGGGCAAGAGAGATAGGTCCCACACCAGGCAATAAGTCAATTGCAAATTCAATTTCCCTCTCTGGAGGAAAGTGCGGAATTTCATCCGGAAAGACATCCTCAAATTCAGAGACAATCGGAATAACAGAAACTGGCTTCTTGTTGACGCCAACCAGACCTCCCAATAAAACATACCCGGAATCTCCTTCCTTCAAGGCCTTTACCACTCGAAGTACAGACAAATAAGGAGACTCCTTTTCTTCATCATGAGATGAGACAGAAATGGTTTTACTGCAGCAGTCAATCTTCACACAGTACTTGGACAACCAATCCATCCCCAGAATTAAATTCACAGAAGCAAGGTGCAAGACAATAAAGTCGGACCACACGTAGCACATAGAGAAGCAGGCTTAATATTTCCAGGCTTAGAATTTCCCGCCTTTTAGAACTTACCATCAGACTGTCTAACCTGCAACCCTTTTCCTTTAGGATTCCCAGAAGTGTTTTTAGAACCAGAATTAGGAGCAGATTGGTCCTTATGCTTCCTTCTGTAATATTCTTGAATATTTTTACACTTTTTAACAAGTGCAGCAAAAGTATCAAATGAGTCACCTGCAAGTTTTTCAGAGATGTTATCATGTAATCCTCTATGAAATTTAAAAATAAAGTCATCCTCTGTAGGTGGAGCTCTCTGGAAATGAGAGTATTTGGCCAGCTTATTGAACTTATTCAAGTATTCATCAACAGACATCTGACCCTGCTTTAGTTCTTCAAATTCACCCTTCTTCCTTATTCGGGCTTCAGCCGGAAAGTATTTCAGCAAGAATTGCCTTTCAAATAAAGGCCAGGTAATAGCATAACCCTGACATTCCAAGGGCAGACGAGT